TAAACGGGGAGTAGTAAATTAAGCAAATGAAAACAATGATTTCATCCAAAATTAAAAGTAAGCATTAAAGCTGGGCAGTGGTGGTGCAAGCCTTTAGTCCCAGCACTTGGGAGGCAGAGGCAGGCGGATCTCTGTGAGTTCAAGGCCAGCCTGGTCTACAAGAGCTAGTTCCGAGACAGGCACTAAAACTACGGAGAAACCCTGTCTCGAAAAACCAAACCAAACCACAACAACAACAAAAATAACACACAAAAAAAGATTCTAGCCGGGCGATGGTGGTGCACGCCTTTAATCCCAGCACTCGGGAGGCAGAGGCAGGTGGATCTCTGTGAGTTCGAGGCCAGCCTGGTCTACAGAGCTAGTTCCAGGGCAGGCTCCAAAGCCACAGAGAGAAACCCTGTCTCGAAAAACCAATAATAAAAAAAAAAGATTCCAAAAAGCAAGCATTAAAAGGATATCCGACAGCTACCCCAATTACTTAAACAAGAGGGATTCCCCCATTCCTAGTTCTTTTCTAATGCAATTTCTGAAATTTCTTTCTTTCTAAACTTTGATGCTGGTGAAGCATACCCAGCTGAAACAATCGCTAATTAAAGTCTCTTGATACTTGTTCCTTTTGGAGACAAAAAGGACGCACATGCGCAGAAGAATCACTGGACTACAATTCCCAGAAGCAGTAGAGGACACAGCATCCTATTGGACTACAATTCCCAGTTCGACGGAAAACCACGCATGCGCAGGACATTTTCCCCACGCACCTGGATCCTCCCCCCCTTAAAAACGGGGAACGCCATAACTCGCCCCCTTTTGTCTCTTCACCCCCATCCCTCACCTGTCGTCACCCCCTCCCCATTAAAGTTTACCGACGTGGGACCGCCGTGCATCTCGTGTTTTCTCTCCAACCCCGCAGAAAAGAATAACAATACTGAGTCCCACTAACATATATTTTGGCAAATGATGATCTTACAATCTTGGTATAAAATAAATATTTTTTCTGGAACAATTTAAAGTAAAATGGATCTCTTACAAGCTATAGGTATTTAATGGCATAATCTTTCTGGTAATTAAAAATAATCCAGAGGAGGCCGGGCGGTGGTGACGCACGCCTTTAATCCCAGCACTCTGGAGGCAGAGGCAGGCGGATCTCTGTGAGTTCGAGGTCAGCCTGGTCTACAAGAGCTAGTTCCAGGACAGGAACCAAAAGCTATGGAGAAACTCTGTCTCGAAAATCCAAAAAAAAAAAAAAAAAGAAAAAAAAATCCAGAGGGCTTGGGGTGTGACTTGATGGAAGAACACCTAGTGTGTAAGGCAATGGGTTCCATTTCAGAACTGAAAAAGAGGAAAGGTTCTTTTTATGGGGTGAAAGGGGATTGAGATAGTGTCTCTCTGCGAAACAGTCCTGGCTGTCCTGTAAAGTGCTTTGTAGACAAGGCTGGCCTTGAACTCACAGAGATCTGCCTGCCTCTGCCTTCCGAGTGCTGGGATTAAAGGCGTGCCTGGGTTTATAGAAGGGAAAGGTTCTTAACAATCATCTATTTTCTTGATAAAGAACAATGGCTTGGTTAAACTACCCCTACACACTTTATACTAATGGTAATCTTGTTCACTCATCTATTTGCTTTGAAGGCCTGAGAGGAGCTACTGATACCACTTTTTGAGATGCAGATTCACATCAACTTCTTTTGATCCATCTCAGCGCATCTTGGCTCATCTTAAAGCCTTAAAGTACTTCAACAAAACTCCTAAAGTAGTTATTAAAATAGCTTATCATGGTGGCACACATCTTTAATTCCAGCACTTGTGAGGCAGAAGCAGAATCTCTGAGTTCAAAGCCAGCTCCAGTCTAGTCTACACCAGTAAATTTCAGGGTAGCCAAGGCCACATAGTGAGACCCCACCTAAAAAACAAACAAACAAAACACTCCAAGAAAAAGGACAACAAAGATGAACAAAACAAAATTAAAAAAAAAAAAATCAAGCCAACCTCCATTTTATATACTGATAAGCCAATTTATGATCAAAGTAAGGAACTAGCCAAATAGATCTGTGGATAAATCTTGTTTTCCTTTTTTTTTTAAAAAAAAAAAATAAAGGAACCTATTTCTGTAAATAAATGACACTGAAATTTAGCTGTGTTCATCCTCCCACCCCCATATGTCAAAGGCTGCTTTATTTTACATTCGATTAAATAGGGATGGGGGTGGAGCCTCAGTAGTAGAGTACTTTCCCATCAAGCATGCTCTAGACTTGGTCCTTATTCTCACTGGAATCAAGTAGTGTGACAGAGATCATACAGTAGGTAAAGCTGAAGATAGCTGCTGTTCCTTCTATCTTTCCCTTCACAGAAAACACAAGTCAAATCTTTTCCAAATGCTAGGAAAGAGATTAGTATCATATTTAAACCTACAGCTTGGATACTCATCTATAGTAATGTTTTTAGAATAAACTCACTGAAAAAATACTATTTGAATGTTCTTGGCGAGTTTCTGAAGATATTTGTGTCTAATAGAATAACTTTATTCTTTTTTGGAATGATAGTCAGGCAGATCTCTGAGAGTTTTAGGACAGCCTGGTCTACAGAGTAGTTCCAGGACAGTCAGAGCTACACAGAGGGTTTCTCTGTAGCTTTACAGCCTGTCCTGGAACTAGCTCTTATAGACCAAGCGGGCCTCAGACAGATCCGCCTGCCTCTGCCTCCTGGGATTAAAGGCGTGTGCCACCACTGTCTGGCTATAAACAACTATTTTTATAGGTCAAACACAACATTACCTAATGTTAAAGAAAAAGTATTTACATTTCTGATAAAAATGGAAAGTAGTGGGCGGTGGTGGCACACGCCATTAATCCCAGCACTCGGGAGGCAGAGGCAGGGGATCTCTGTGAGTTCGAGGCCAGCCTGGCCTACAAGAGCTAGTTCCAGGACAGGCTCCAAAGCTACAGAGAAACCCTGTCTTGAAAAAAACAAACGCACAAACAACAACAACAACAACAAAAACACTTATGGGATGGAGAGATGGCTCAGTGGTTAAAAGCATTGCCTGTTCTTCCAAAGGTCCTGAGTTCAATTCCCAGCAACCACATGGTGGCTCACAACCATCTGTAATGAGGTCTGATGCCCTCTTCTGGCCTGCAAGCATACACGCAGACAGAATATTGTATACATAATAAATAAATAAAAAAAATGGAAAGTAGTTTTAGAATATAAAACTGTATTTTCTTCTCAATCAATTAGATTTTATGGTCATGAAGGACAATAAAGAGACTGATTCTGAGTTAAGACCAAAAGATGGAGTAAATAGAAACATCCCTAATTGCCAAGACATAAGGTGGAAATACTGAGATTAGAAACCAGGTGGCCATTGTGTGGAGACCTGGAATCAATACCACTTTATAGAAATCAGGCCCTCAGCATTGGGGCACTCAATTGCTATGGCAATAGGTGAGTTTTAGCCTTGATCACATGGCTTATAGCTTGAAATCTGTTTCACGGGAAAGTATTTTGAAGCATGCAGTGAACTTTAAAAACCATGCAATAAACATGAAAACACGTGGTATCAGTTACACAGCAGGTTCAAATGAATCTTTAAAAGACAATTTGGATGAAAAATAATTCAAGACATTCAACACAGAATTTTTTGATGCACATAATTAAGAATTCTATTCTTTTTCTTTTCTAAAGAATCAGTATTTTTTTGTTTGTTTGTATTTCCTTTCCTGAGATGGGGGTATCTCTGTGTAGCAGTTCTGGCTATCCTAGAACTTGCTTAGTAGACCAGGCTGTCCTTAAATTCACAGACCTCCACCTGCCTCTGCCTCCCAAGTACCAGAATTAAAGGTATGACACCACCACCCCGCTAAGAATTACCATGTTTTTAAAAGATTAGTTAAATTATTTTATCCTCTGAGGGGATTAATCTAAAATAGTTTCCTTTGTTTGTTACCTAACAATCAATCTAGCTGCTCTCTTATCTCATTTTTTTTTTCTTTTTTCTTTTGATTTTTAGAGTCAGGGTTTCATTGTTTAGCTCTGGTGTTCTGGAACTCACTTTGTAGACCAGGCTGGTCTCGAATTCACAGGGATCCGTCTACCTCTGCCTCCTGAGTACTAGGACTAAAGCATGCACCACCACCGCCTGGCAAAAATTTTTTTTTTGATTTGGGGAAAAAAGTTAAATTTAGACCTGCAAAAATTAAGTGTCATTTGTTAATTTTTTGCTATTGAAGGCAAGTTCTGAATCATAACAGACAACTTTTCCAGTCTAGAAAACCTTTCTGAATCAGAAAAATGTCTTCCTAAAATGTGGTACTGAAGACTGAATCTAGATCCTTATACATGCTACAGAAGTGCTCTACCATTGAGCTACAGCCCCAGCCTTCTTTCTACTTTGAAATAGGGTCTTATTAAGTTCTCTAAGCTGGCTTTGAAGTTGTTCTACTCCTGGCACAGCCTCTGGAACAGCTGAGATGACTGGCCTAAGACATTGGTCCCACCTAGAATAGGGCCTTTATAACTCAGTCTTGCTTTACAAGCTATGCTATCCATCCTTATCCTTTCCTTTCCTACTCACTATCCAAGGCATACACTGTCATTCCAATGACTATGGATCTGGAAAAAAGACCAGGCTGAAGCTAATAGATCTCTGTAGAAAGTTTCTTCTTCTTCTTCTTCTTCTTTTTTTTTTTTTTTTTGAGACAGGGTTTCTCTGTAGCTTTGGAGCCTGTCCTAGAGCTAGCTCTTGTAGACCAGGCTGGCCTTGAACTCACAGAGATCCGCCTACCTCTGCCTCCCGAGTGCTGGGATTAAAGGCGTGCACCACCACTGCCCGGTAAAGTTTCTTCTTTTTATATGTGGCCATAGCAGAATTTGATGGACCAGATGGTAGTCAATAAAGGAAAATTTAAAAGGTTCCTTTTAACATTCCATTCACCCTTTCCTCCAAAATTTCATAAAAAATAATTAGGATAAGAGGGGTTATTACACATAAGACGAGCATGATTTACCATTGAAGCTGATCGACTGTTTGTAACAAGGCTTGATCCTCCATAGTTTGAATTCAGGTTTCCAATTGGTGCATTATGGGATGGTCCCAATAAACTGTGTATATCACTGTGACTAGTAGGCAGACTGGTAGAAGGTCCAACTGCATGGTTCCGCAGCACATGGATAGCATCATCCAGTCTGTCTAAACGATCTTCCATTCGAGACTGCTGTAAGGATCAAAAACAACATGGGGTAGGGTGGTTACTGTGGATATCGACTCAATTTACTAAGCGTCTACATCTCTTATTCAGGGATATAAAGAAGGCAGCAAATGCAATGTAGTATCAATTAGCTTTAAAGGCGACTACCTGCACTTCAAATCAACAACAAAACAGGCAGCTATCTTCAGACTAAATTTTCAAAAGTGCTGCTTCTTTTTTCAAAAGTCAACTGCTTTATAAGATGAATTTACCCATCTATCATGAGGTTATTTCTTTTAGTTTCTATAATAAATGAAGGCTATTATACCAATACTCAATTACAGTTGATGGAAAGGGATAAACTGTACTTTAACATGATCTCTGAAAGATGTCAATTTAGGGAAAGGCTCTCAAATCCATTTAAGTTTTAGGTGAGCAGAACACACCTATCTTCAATGGTGTACACATTCAGATACGCTCTTTAACAAAACTGAAGGAAAGACATCTACTGCCCATGGGTCACACATGCCTTATATACAAACACAATTCTGAAAACCAAAAGCACATGCCAGTAGAGCTCTTAAAAGAAGTCATTCTTAACAGACACATCTACTTTCTATCACTGCTACAAGAGCTTTAATGCTCATTTGTTTGATTTTTAAAGGACGCTGAAGTCTGTACAGCTTAATAATTTTAAATGGATAAGGGACGTATAAGTAATTTAAACACACAAAAAGGCACCATCTAAAAGAAATAGTACCTCACAGACATCCTTTAAGAAGGACATTGCATCTTGCAAATGCTCGTGAAGTTGCTGCTCAACTCGATTTTTCTGGCAAAGTCAAGACAGAACAGGAGGCAAAGCACAGGTTAAGATTAACTCCAAAAGAGATGAGGAAATAGCTGATGTGCTTGTTGGCATAACCTGTTAGTAAAGTTAATGTGGAGATCTGCAAGATCTACTTGTATTAAGCTCCGAAAGGCTGGACTTTAACAGGGACTCACAAGGTTAGCATGTAACTAAGCACACACTGCTTGAGTTTGCTTGCAAAATATGTGAGAAGACAACTTTCCTCCAACTTGAAATATTTTGTTAGGCACAGAAAAAGAGGGCTTCTGATTGCAACCTAGAATTACTGAATGATTACATGACTTAGCATATCACCAGGATCACGCTCATTTATTTTTATTACACTTTGTGATTCTGGGTCACAAATAAGCACACAAACATAACAGTAGAGAACATTCTACCACAAATTCTTCACCTTGGAGTACTAGTCCTATTTGTCTGGCAAGCAATGTTTTGCTTGTGTGGTATGTACTTTATTACAAGAAGACATCAGAAATGCTTTTATAATAAAAAACTGACATATGTAAAAGTCTAATATAAATATAACAACACATGATTTTGAATCAATGGATTTGATTTCTTGTCCTTTTAAAAATAAATTTCATATTGACAGTATAGAAAAATTAAGTCTTATATTTTTCAAAAAAACAAAAATCCTTCAGTATTCTTTTAATTCCCTATGTCTATATAAAACAGATGACAATAAAGACACCTAAAGTGTCATATTGTCTACTAAATCAGGTCATCTGTTAGCAAAGAATGTGTAACACTATCCTACCATTTCTTCACTGTTACATAAGATTTTAGGGGAAAAAAAAAAAGCAAAATCACTAATAACAAAAAACCCCTCTGAACCATAAAGCAAAGTTCTATTAACACCTGTAAAGACAGCAGAAGGCTCTTACCAGGGAGTGAAGTGAGTTTTCATAGCTTGGGGATGAAGGAGCTTGCCCTCCAGCTCTGGGCCACTGACTAGTACCTGTTAAACCGAAAAAAGCATTCACATGTATGGATGAACTCAGTGTCTCAGTAATGTTAAAGAAAAGATAAAGATATTCAGTAATAATAAACAAATAATGGAAAACTTGTTTATCATTCAGCATAATATTAGCAACTTACAAGCACAAAACATTGAAAAACTTTTTCATTATTAATTCCTGTAAAACACAGCTAGCTAGGATTATGTTTGTATATTCTTTAGACTTTGTCTATACACATGTGCATCTTTGAAAATATTTATCTTTTAAAGATGTTTGCTTCCCCACAATGGCTTTACACTGTTTGATAATGCTATTAATGATAACATTAATACTTATCTGTTTCTCTGTACCATAATTTTCTTAATTACCATATCTCATCACTAGCAATTTTCAATTTATAGTTTAACGCGTATTTCTCAATTTAAACAGTGTACACACATTCACGTGCATCTTCTGACAGTACCCCAGCCATGCACGGATGAAGCTGCTTCAAAGGCTAAAATGTAACAGTTAAAAAAAAATGTTTAGGTGGGGAGTTGATCACAAGCTAAAGACTCCAAATTATTCAAACAAAAAAATCAATTCAGCAAGCTAGGGTGGTAGTGCAAACCTTTAAATCCAGCACTCGGGAGGCAGAGGCAGGTAGATCTCTGTGAGTTCGAGGCCAACCTGGTTTAAAGAGCTAGTTCCAGGACAGCTAGAACAACCCTGAGAAATCCTATCTTGAAAAACAAACCAGTGTGTGTGTGGGGGGAATCATTTCAACCATTTTGGTCCAATCTTCCTCCAAACCCCTGTGTGATCAGGCTGTGACAGGCGTTCTGAAATGTCTGAAGACAGGACAGTCAGGAGGCACACAAATGCTTTGCAAAGTAGGCAGTTTCTGTGGTTCCCCATGAGCTTAGTGTTGAGGGTGCAGAAGGATGCACTGCACCACTCACATGGGAAATCTGCACACAGAAGACTGTGCATGTATGTTGGGGACTGAACCCAGGGCCTCATACACGTTAGATAAATGTTCTACAACTCATTAAGCTATACTCCCCAGCCTTATATTTATAGTTTTTTGGATAGTAATATAAAGAAACCATGCAATGGGTCATCTTTACTCAATGGGTTAAGATGCTTGTTGTCAAGCCTCACAACTGGGTTTTATACCTGGAACCCACATAACAGAAGAAGAGAACTGACTCTTGCTAGGTGTCTTGACTTCCAGATGTATAAATTATGGAAGGTGTTCCCCTCCCACCACACACATACAAAGAAACCACACAAAGATCTAAAATACCACCCATTTAACCATATATTAAAAAAAAAGATGGGGAAAAGGCTAGGAGTGGAGGTTGGGAAAACTGTGATCGGGATGTAAAAAACAATAATAAAAATTAATTTTTAAAAAGACACATAGTTAAACTTACTTTGTTGTTTTATTATTGATTGGTCTACCCACTGTTACAACACAAGGTTAAAGCAGAATATTAGAAGGGTTAAATCAGTGATAGATATCTCTATGAACGTCACACAAATTAAATTCTGAGCTACATTTCACGGACAAGGGTGCTATGACTGTAATAGTCACCTAATATTTTATGTTGTTGGTCACAAAGGGGTGGATGGACAGTTACACAAGACAGCGCTAGCTCAGAAGTTAGCACCATCATCTGGTAAAGTTCAGAGTACAAGCATTTAGTGGAGGCTGGGAGTGTAGCTCAGTGGTACAATATTTGCTTAGAATGTGTTAAGTCCCTAGGTTTGATCCCTAGCATGTGGTACACACAAAAATAAAACAAGCAAAACAAACAAACAAACCAAAAAAACCCCAGTTTTATTTTAATCTGCCTTATAAAAATTATCTTAAGAGAGATGAAAGCATGCCACCAAGCTAAATAAATATATTTCTGGTAATGGAACACTAATACCATTCCCTTCTGTGCATAGATTCTAATGTAATAAATAAAAAAAAAACAAACAGTAAATATACCAAAATCTTGGCAGTCTTGGAGTACTGGTGTCTTATTAGCTATGGATGAGACCTGAGTGGGGTGGGAATCAGATTCTAGACACAGACCATAACACTAGCTAGCATGCATCTGATACTAGATAGAGCTATAGCTTCATCTCTTCGTAAAATTAGCATGAGAAGAAAATACACAGGTTAAATTTAGAATCATAATGGTGCCTCTTGCATGTAATTACCAACTATTGCAAGCAGGAGAATAGAGAAAAGGAATAGTGCAAAGGCTGGAAGTCTTGGTGCGACTTAGAATAGACTGCTCTCCCTTCCCAGCCCATCACTTGTTGTTTGGGGCTGGACATGCCCACAGGGAGAACATATACTTTGTGGGAAACAGTTTCTTTAACTGTCCTGTGGTCTTTTTTTTTTTTTTAAACTAACTATCCACTCTAGAAATGTGGCTCTTAGTTTAGAAGAATTTTAGCAAATTTACTTAGTAAAATTTATTGAACATATTTATAGGAAGCAAGCTAGGTGGTGAATAGGGTTAGAGCTGAATTATTTCGGGGAAGACTTTGGTCATACCTAAATTTATTCAGTGTTTCTGATTTGCTCTTATTCTGAGCAGTGCTTAGCAAGTACTTCCCCCAGTAGAACTGGTTCCTAAGTTAAGAGAATGGATACTGCCTCCTGTATAGCTAAGAATATTTATAGGCCTTAGTTCATTTGTTAGTTCTCTTGTTTCTGGGACAGAGTTTTACTATGTACCATTGGGCAGCTTGGGAATTGCTTTACAGACCAAGCTGGAGATCTGTCTGTCTTCTGTCCCCCTCACCCCTGGGTTGGGATTAAAGGTATGTACCACAATGCTTGGTTCCCAGTTATTTCTTATTCCAGACTTCCAGTAGTTTCTCTTTGTAACCTCACCCTAAACTCAAGCCTTCAGGAATCCTGCCCGCCACTGAAGTCCTAATCCTTACAGTTTGCCAAAATATATCCCAGTCACCCTTTCCACACATGACTAGATGAGGAGGGCAGGCACTTTCTCATGTCCAGACTTGGGCTGCACTTCCTTTATACTCACAAAAGCTGCTCTCCTTCTATTAAAATCCTCTTCATAAAATCTGTGCCCTAACCTGATCACAACTCAGTGTCAATTCTGTGGTTTTATTTTCTCAACTCATCTGGAAATTTGATGAAGTCAGGCAAGCAATTTAATACTGGGCATGTACCTAGATGACATACATGAATGTTTTGATTAAACTGACATAAACCTAAACTCAATTTTTACTGGGAGGTTCTGAGGGCTGCCACCAGGCCCTAATATTACAGACTTTCTTCATCTATATCCCAAATGAAGGTAAAGAAAGTCAAGGAATGGCCAGGGGGTGGTGGTACATGCCTTTAATCTCAGTACTTGGGAGGCAGAGACAGGCAGATCTTTGTGAGTTCGAGGCTAGTCTGTTCTACAGAGTGAGTTCCAGGACAGGCTCCAAAGCTACATAGAGATCCCGTCTTGAAAGACAAAACAAAACAAAACAAAAAAAAAAAGAGAAGAAACAAAAAAGAAAGAAAGAAAGTCAAGGAATGGTTAGCTTGCCGGCTTCCATATTGGACATATTCTAACATCTAACACAAATGTGTGTCACTTTCTAAACTATAGTAGGCATAGCCATTTCTCTTTCACCATGAGAGACTATATTCTATACCAACTTTAGCTAGATCCCAATAACTAAACTAAACATGGCAGGTCCACTTCAGATGCAGGTAACTGAGGTAGGCCTAGTGCTGGTCAATGAAAAATGAGGATAATTCTGTAAGGGAGATTTCTAGGAAAGATTTTTAAAGAGACATGGGAAAAAAAAAAGATCCTTTTTTCTTCTACTGGATACTGTTTGTAGTGTCTCAAATAGTTGCAAAGAACTGCTAGGAGGTAGAACAGGGATTCTGACATGCAGATTTACAGTTAGCTTGCATTGGGCCTCTTGTTACTTAAGAACAAATGCTCACACACCTTTAATCCCAGCACTTGGGAGGGAGAGGCAGACAGATCTCTGAGTTCAAGGCCATCTTGGTCAACACAGCCAAGTTCCAGACCAGCCACAGCTACACATATAGTAGCACTCTGTCTCCATGCCCCCACCCCCAATACTCTAAGAACAAATGGTTCTTTAATGTTCAAGCTAGGAGGGACCAGAGTTCCTTTTCCTTTCATCCTAAGCTTCAATACCTTAGAATACCTTAGAAGTGTCTTCACAAGTGCTTGAGATAAAAATGCTACTGGTTTGCAAAGTTCTGGAGGAAGATGAGATGGATTTATCCAAGAATGACAGTCATGAAGCTGCCTGTGAGGATCTGTTGCCTGTGTGTTTATCCTGTGCTGAGTCAGACCAATGGTCAGGCATGAGGAACATGGCTAACTATGCATGACCCACTTATTCCAGATAACAGAACAAGGTCATATACGGTACAAAGCAATCTGTACAAACAGTAGTTCTTTCACACAGTGCTTTTCCTTCTCTCCTCCCCGTCTCTGTTCTGTCATAGTGTGGGTATTCATATATGCAAGGGAGGTAGAGACAACAAAGACAGGAGAAATGTGCGTTTCTAAATACACTTTACGCCGGGCGGTGGTGGCGCACGCCTTTAATCCCAGCACTCGGGAGGCAGAGGCAGGCGGATCTCTGTGAGTTCGAGACCAGCCTGGTCTACAAGAGCTAGTTCCAGGACAGGCTCCAAAACCACAGAGAAACCCTGTCTCGAAAAACCAAAATAAATAAATAAATAAATAAATAAATAAATAAATAAATAAATAAATACACTTTACTTGGTGTTTCAGTAGCATTATGTGGAAATGAGGACTACTGAATTCAAGGCAGGCCCACTAAACATAAATAATCAGTAGCCTACGTTTTGATCAGCTATCTGAGTTATAGGGAAAAGACTAGTCAAACCTCACTTAACAATGCAGGAGACTTCAGAGTTGACTTGTACCAGTCTAGATTTCACTCATGTCTTCCTAGGCGCTGAGCACCAGGGTCCTCTCACATGATTAGTAAGCGCAGTGAAAGCAGACATGGACACATCCAATGACAAAGAGCAAAAACAGGCTGTGGCAAAAATTATGCCAAAGATTTTGGTAAAATAGTGCCAAGATAATGAGCAAGGATAAGTTACATCATTCTCCCTGTAATTTTAACTGTTAAACAACTCTAAGTCAATGGGTCTTTCATCATCTTGCTTATGTGGGCAACAGCTGCTTCACATTTACTAGACAGCTGAAGCCATGATCTCTGAAAAAGTGGCCTAGCCGGCTACTAGTGAAGAGCAGCTGCTGCAGCTCAACATGTCCATCTTGGAATGTGGCTGAGTAGAGACACAGGACTAACAAAGCACAGGTGACAGACAAGAACCCTGACTTCGTGAAACCCTGCACAACACAACAATGCTTAGTGAAAACTACCACACTGTCTAAGTGTGGCTAGACAGGAAAGCAGAGACGCTGCTGAGGCTGACTGCTGTGGGGGGACGGGGTGATTTCATTCAGTTGTCTAATAATGGCTCTTCTTCAAAACAAACACATTTTTTTGTCAGCAAGTACCTCCCCTCTAAATGTTGCTTAGCAAAAATATGGGTAAGGTTTAAACACTATTGCTAGAAAAGTATTTTCATGACTTTACTTAATACTAATAAAAATTACCATTTATAATTATCTCAACAAATTCATTCCAGAGGATAGTTTTAGAACTTGTCAAAATTAATGTTCAAAATCAGGAAATAGGAAAACAAACTGAACCATTTAGGCAGCTCCACTACTGCTGCTCATCCACAGCATAGTCTTTTTCTCAACAGAAAAACTATACAACCCCTGGTAAGTTTTCATTTAAAAATGTGTAATTATAACCTAGTAGTCTCAACGAAGTTACATATATTACAATCGGCATTGGAAACCTAGGAAGAGTATGAATAAATAATTCAAGATGAGCAATTATTTCAGTATTTCTTCAAAATGAACTCCAGGCAGCTTCTGATTAGATATTTATTGTCAAAATAATTGTTTCATAATTTAAATAGAACTTTACTGAAATTTTGTTGAATCACAATTATTTTCAAGTAGACTCGTATGTGCTATGAATAAAAGAGAAACTCACCTGTGAGAGGTGAAGGGGATCCCACCGGTGTTGATGGGTTTGATGGAAAACTACTGCTTGTATGGTCAGGAGAATAAATCTAATCAGAAAAATAAGAGATACACATGAGTCAGATAACAGCAAAAATACAAATCCATCCATGGAGCTGTTTCTGTGATCTTGGTCACACTACTCACTCACTCCAAGACTCATAAGGAAAACACTTTCATCCAATTGTACACTATTTTCTCACTAGACACCAAAGTAGCTTCAGTTTTCAAACTAGGAAAAAAATATTACACAATTTCAAATGTGAGAGGAATAACAAAAATATATATTTCTTAATTATTGTTGTTGGAAAGTTCTAATTATCAGCAGAAAAATCAAGACATGAGTTTGGGTATGGGTGCACCTCTGCAATAATGGACAAGTTCAAGGTCAGCCTGGGCTAAACAGCAGTAACAGGCCGTGGAGACTAGTGCAAGGCGCAGAGGTGAGACTGCAACTTTAAGGTCCCTTATTTGAGCTGCATCTTTGTCTCAAAATAAAACAAGCTATTGTAAAGTTAAAACATCTGGAAAGTAAGTAATCTTTAAAAAATATACCATTTAAGTACTATAAAAGTGATAATTCCACAAAAAAAACTTAAAAATAAAAAGGTAGAGTCTTTTAGGCTGTTTTGTTATTAGTGGTTTGAGTCAGAGTCTAGGTTGCATAATCAGGATCTCGACAGACCTTGTATTTGTGATCCTCCTGACTTGGCCTGCAAGGTCTGGAACTGCAGGTGTGTCACAGAAAGCTTGGTTACTATGCATTTAAAATGGTCTTTAAGTCAGGTGTGGTGGTGCACACCTTAAATCCCAGCACTCAGAGGCAGAGGCTGGTGGGTCTCTTGAGTTTGAGATCAGCCTGTTTACAGACAGAGTTTTATAACAGCCAGGGCTACAAAGAGAAACTTTAAAAAAAAAAAAAGTTTTCCCTTCTAACTAAAGATTAACAGTCACCACTTACCCCTTTAAAAAGTTACTTATCTGTTTTAGTTCCAATGACTGCATATTAAATTAAGCTTTCTCTAAAGGACACTAAACTTCTACAAACATGTTTCAAGATCTTTATCATTGTGACTCATTATTTCTTATGTTCAGAAGTCAGTTATACACCTTTTATGAGCAACCAATGCTAACTTCATAAAGTATGTAATACAATATTGATGAGGGAGGGAAGAATGATTTCACGATGCTGAACAGACAAGTCAGACAATAGTCACACAGCTGTATTCACAGATTAGTTTGCCTTGCTGACCACTACTCCTCAGCTGTGAGAACCAACTGTGAAAGCCCTGGAGCAACCTTACCTTCTGTAGTAGCTGGCAGCTCCCAGTTCTGTGCTGGTGCTTACAGTGCTTCCAAGCTATCCATTTTCTGTCTCCTACTCTCAATCCTTGCCTAGTCACTGCTGTGCTGACAAGAGATGAGGGATGGTAGAAATGGCAGAGCCTGTGCTTGGAATTCTCACCGGGGTGACTTTTGGGCTTCAGGTTTAGCTGAAGTTTACACCTCTTCTACTTTCCAGTTCCCTTAAAGGTTTCCGTAGAGTCCAAGTACCCTTTTCTTCTCTAGTCACCTGCTAATGACATTCTTTGTGCCATGTTTACACATCCTGGCGACTGACTCCTGAACTAACTTCTCCACCTGGACAGACTGAGTAGGGCACACCTGAACTTTGAGTCACCACTTTTCTTCCTATCCTCCCCACCTTTTCCCTTCTTTTCCTCTATTTTGGTTTGCGTTCTCCGTTTTCTACAAAGGGGTCTGGCTCTTCCCTTTGCAGATACCAATATTTACAATTCTGGTTTTGGGATAGGTACACATCCTTCTCATACCACTTTAAACCTGTGCCTGCAACCTCAGGTGTTCTTCCTCACGAGTTGTTCACCTTATTTTTTGACACAAGATCTCTCGTTGGCCTGGACCTCTGGCTGGCCAAGCCCTGGGGACCTATTTGTCTTCCCAGTGTTGAGACTTGTTTGTTTTTTCCAAGACAGAGTTTCTCTGTGTTGACAGCCAGAGCTGTCCTGGGACTGGCTTTGTAGACCAGGCTGGCCTCAAACTCACACAGAGATCTGCCTGCTTCTGCCTCCCAAGTGCTAGGATTAAAGGCATGTGCCATCACTGTCTGGCAAAAGAAGTAACTTTTTAAAGGCATGAACAACCACCACGTGGCTCCAGTGTTGGAATCATAATGAGTGATAAAATCTGCTATAATACATATTGATAAGAAGATTCTTTAAATGGTGAGATGTATCTTAGTATTTAAGTAATGAGGATCAATAACAGAAGAAAGTGAAAGTTTGTTATAGAGGCAGCATGGCATAACTTTGAGAACAATTATGTGGTGAGGTTCTGTATGGTGAGAATTGGTGTTAATCTTCTAGGCTATATGTATCTCACACTTAGGTAGACATAGGCTTTCTCAGGTGTGAATGAACTGCCAAGTCTTTCAGCTCTGCTTTTTCAGTGAAGCAATCCCTAAGTTTGTCAAATGCTGGTGAGAGTCCCTTTAAGTCAAAGAAAACAGGCTATACTTTAAAGTCATATAGTCATATGATCATATGATATATGGAGTCATATGATATTGGAGGGACAGGACATGGTTTTGATCCTATACTCAAAGCAGCAGTGAGCTTTTGGGAATCATGGTGGAAATAGGAGAAACTATACTAAAATCTATCTTTTCCAAAAGAAGCTTCTCCATTCGTATAACAGAAGCCATTTTTTTTTTTTTTACCATTTACCCATTACACTTGCAGTTTGATGTGATATCAGACAGAATTGCTATTCATTCATTATCTACATTTAAAAACTGTGGGGTGGGGTAGGGTGGGGAGTTAAAGAGATGGCTCAGCACTGGCTGCTCTTCCAGAGGACCTGGGTTCAATTGCCAGCACCCATAGGACAGTTCACACCTGTCTGTAACTCTAGTTCCAAGGATGCAATACCCTCATACAGACATACAGCAGGCAAACACCAATGCACAGAAAATAAAAAGTTATTCAGGGGCATGGCAGATGAGATGGCTCAATTTGCTCCCCAAGATCCACCTGGAAAGAGACCAGATTCCTGAAAGTTGTCCCCTGACCTCCATGCTTGTTTGTGCCCCCCCCAACAAAACAAACAGTGTTTTACTCCCACATAGGGAGGAAGACTAGTGCAGCACTACCAGATGGCAGATCAAATCACAACTTAATTAAACTATTTCATTAAAATCATTATTCTTTTAGAAATCCTAAACACCAGGCATTTCTGGCAATGAAAATTCTAAATGAAGATTTCTTTCTTTACCTTTCTGACCTTAAAGAATTCCAATACTGGTATTTAAAGAAGAAAAACGTCATTTTAAAAATGGGGGTGGCAGTGACTTAAGAGTCTAGGGCAGAAACAAAGTCAGAGCTCATTCTACATGCAGCCCACAGGCACCTACTTAAATGGCCAATGATGAATAACTCCCAGTACCTTCTGCCAGGCTTAAACGGTAATATTTCTCATTTTACTGCAACAAATGAGGCTCCTCCTCCTATCAGTCATGGTCCATTCCAATCAGTAGGGTGCCAATAAAGCCAGAGGCTAATGAAAAGAGCCTCAGACAAAAAGAAACAATGGGGAGCTCCAGGCCCAACCCTGGAACTGAGAGTCTAAGGTTTTAAACACTGAAGCTTTTGCACATTTCAGTTAATCTTTATTATGCTAATGTTATTGAGTCTAAGGAACAAAGAAACTTATTTCATGAATTACTTCTAAACTGTCAACTTCCCTGGATTTTCTTTTCTTTTGTTAGAGACTACTGACCATTTAACTATCTAGATTAAAGCACACACATTTCTCCTTCTCTTCTTTCCTCCCTAGCTCATTGAAATCAAAACATAAATTATCACAAAGAAGCCTGATATAATCAACAAAGTTAAACAGTCCTCTCGTTTGATCTCTTCTAAATTAAAGACTGAATGTTTTGATATGGTATTAAGCACTGAGATAAACCAGATGTTTCTTCCTCCATATAACTCTCCATGGGCACAGTCTTAAAGGGTGATTGTCTGGCAAATGTTCAGGGACACACAGATTTTTCCTTTCCTTCTATCTACTCATGTGTATTATCTAAACTAGTGCACAATCCATAGGGCTTTGGGGACTTTGTGTAAATACCTTCATATACAATTCTCTTTCTTGCTATCCTGAGATTAAGACCACAATTATCCAAGCTTAAACCTAAAATAAAGGAACCTTTGCAAATGCATTATCTGGCCTTACATGTTTAATCACGCAGTATTCTGTGTGTTCTTTAATACCTAAACTGAAGAACAAAGATTGTACCCTCCGGTGTTTCACACATGAAAGACCTTCTAAGGCAATTGGGGAACTAGAATTAACTTCTAATGACAACAGCAGTGTTTTCTCATGAAAAGTAGAAGCTATATCATATTAAAGATACCATATTCTAGCCATCTGAAATATTTAACATAAAATTTTGATATGCATGTCAGGTTCTCAGATGTAATTCTCATTAAGTTTCTTCCTCTTATCTCTCCTAATTCTTCAAATCACCAGACAACTGTTTTTTTTTTTTTTTAGCACATTTTAAACACTAAACATTACTTATGAGAATGGGAGTCTACAAGGAAAACTGGAGAAACAATATTGTTTGGGGAGATAAAGGGAGTCTGAAGAAAGGGATAGGAAGCGTGCATGTGAGGGTCTGCAGTGATGGAGCAGATGGAATGCATCACTCTTAGCTATGACAGAAATGATTTATGGAATGACCTGGCTGTTCCTGCCTAGTAACAACACAGGACTGAGTTTCATTCAATCCAGAGTTGAGTTTCCATAGCAACTAAAGCCCACCCACTAGCTAGATTAAACATTTTTTTCCCCTGGCTTCCATTCTGAGTGAATTTGGATTTTTTTTTCTCCAAATACCATCCTGGTTTGGCTAGTATGCTGTTCATAATATGGAAGGGAAATCAAGGATGTCAGGATAACTATAGTAAGCTTGAAGGATCACTGAGAACATCACAAAGTCTTGTCTGCCCCTATAATGGTTTCTTCATATACATTTTCCTTAGAAAAAACAAAACAAAACCTTATGAGAAAAAAAATGATTCCCAAATGGAGGTTTTATTTTTAAATTTTGCTTAATAGTAAGAGTCAAATGTAAATGTCCTTTTACAAATGAATAAACTATCTGTTACTAGTTCTTTTAAAATGAGGAGGAACATGGCATGCTAATCAAATACCCGAGAGCAATTTTCTTCTATACAAGTTTTCTTCAGGGAATAAATTCAGAAAAAAAAAGCAGGACAACTCCTTTTAATCATCCTCAACACTTCTAATACAGTCCCTACAGCACAGTTTCATAGATACCCAAAGCAGTGGAAAGGAGCACTCTGAGGCTAGATAGAGGGGATTGTATTGCATATGAGCTCTACTCGTATTAGCTAGTGATCCCCAGGGCAAACTACTTCATCTTTTGAGCCCAATTCCTTAACCTTTAAACCTTAGTTTCCCCATCTATAATAAGGGGGTAATAATGCCAGGGTGTTCCTGAGGATTAGGTGAAATAGGGGATGGAACTGGTTAGTGTAGTGCCGAGCAACTAGATAGCACTCAGACCACAGTTGATCATTTCCGTGGGTTTGTACCCCACCATTATTACATATGTTCCAAGATTAAATCCAACAAACATTTACTGGATTCCACTGTGTACAGGGTTTCATATGTGGTAGAAGAGTTTGACTTGGCTTCATTTCTTAAAAAACTCAGACTTAGAGCTATAGAGAAAGGTTTATTTACTCAAACAATACATAAAGGAGTTTCTTTCTTCAAGAGCTCAACAGCTGCTCACATATCAGAGTTCTACTTTCCCTATCAACAGCAAATGTTTGAGAAAGTTCATTGTATTGCAGACAAAATATAAGACAACTCTGGAATTCTAAAAAGCATACTGCTTAAGACAAAAGGATGAGGAAAAGAATACAAGTCTAAGGAGAAACTTCACAAGGCAGAAAACATAATTTGAAGCTGAATAAGTATATTTGAGTCTTATAGATTATTAACAAACACCATTCTCTCCTTTCTGGCTTTAGCATACCAAACTAATTTTTAACATTTTAAGAGTCATACATATTAAATGGTGATCACTGTGGTCCCTATTTTTTGAAGTGATCAAGACAAGCTGTAACGTATTATAAAATCTCTTTTAATCCATTTTGTTCATTTTAGCACAAGTCTTTCAATGATTCTGAGCCCCACCCTCTAGTCTGAGTGAACCAGCTGTAGCTGACTGCTTTTTTCCACAAACAAACAAACAAACAAACAATATTTTCCATCTTGTGAAAACCCTTATAAAGGCATTTCCTTCATATTAGATGAGTTGGATTTTCTTTCTTGGCTCTTCTTGATTTATTTAAATGGGCCACTTGAGTATTTACATATAAATTTCCCCAAATTCCTTTGTTTTACCTGTATTTCTTCTATTCAAATAAAGACATATTAAAATGAAACCACAAATACAGCTATTGTAGGTATGGAGTAGGTGGTGTTATCATGTTAATTTAATGGTATATACCAATATAAACAGAAAACAGTTCCTGGAGCTAGGTCCTGTAGACCAGGCTGGCCTCGCACTCACAGAGATCTGCCTGCTTCTGTCTCTAGAGTGCTGGGATTAAAGGAGTGCGCCACCACTGCCCGGCTCAGAAAATAGTTCTTAAATGCATAATTATGTTAAAAGTGTTGTGACTATGCCATTTACTGTCCACAAAATCTTAACCCTAGTTCATCAGTAGAATGTGTATCCAATACTTACAGATGCCAAAGCCTTTCCAAGTGCATCACCCGTCTGTGAGCTTCCAGCAGCATTCCCTCTGGCTCCTGGATGATTTAAACAGGTAAACAAATCAAGAAGACTATCAGGAATGTTACTTTTTCTTAAGCATGTACCTATTACTTCAAGGGTATCCTGGCTTGTGATCTCACATGTCACAGTGAATCAGGAAACACTCTATGTGCTTTAACAAGCTATAAAAATAAAGATGAGTTCCTTATTGGTTTTTGAATTAGTGAAACTTAAAGGTTAATTATCTTCTTTCATTTTTATTTAAACTAACTACTAAAAATTTTATTGAACAATATGGGTTTCAATAAAACTCTCAAATTAGGATTAGGAAGCTATCCCAACCCAGAAGCTCACCTAGAATGCTATCTGACCCATTGATGGGAGGAGTATGGGAGGTGGCAACATATGGTGAGCTGCTGGTACTGCCACGGTGGAAGCTGGACATTGGCGGAAGACTCGTGTTTATGTCTGTAGGTGACACTGAATGTGGAGGATAACTCTAGAAAAGGGAAAAAGACATGATATAGTACATGTTTTCTGAAGGCTGGGCTATTGCTTAATAGTAGAGCACTTGCTTAGCATGCATGAAGGTTTTATCCCCCCACCCCTGTGCTCTTGTGCGCACGTGCGCGCGCTCTCTCTCCTCCCTCCCTCCCTCTCTCTCTCTCTCTCTCTCTCTCTCTCTCTCTCTCACACACACACACACACACACACACCACACACACACACACAAATAAATAAAAAATTAAAGCACACATTTTCTAAACAGGAATATACACTTGACAATCTGTATAATAGGTTAAAATGAGTATGACATATGACAAATTAGTACTGTGTGACAGGGCACTCCCACTGAAAAAAGTTATGGTATAGTAAGCCTATAAATACTTCCAGGTTCACAAGTTTTGGTTTAATTATAATTTATACAAAAAGAGCTAAGAACAAAATGTTGTTTGATAGCCTACCAAGCGGTCATGTGAATGAAGGCTGCCATAACTACTGGACTGAGACATGTGAGAAGTTGAGGTTCCCAGAATTCCACTAAAACCAGGCTGGCTCATCCCGTTTGATGAACTCCAAAGGTCAGAAGAACTGTGGGTCCCATCTAAAATAAAAAGAAAAATAAAACAAAGTTTTCCCTAGCCAGAATTTTTTCTTTTGACAGTGTACAAAAAAATATAAAGGGTATAATGACAATTGAGTTCAACTGTCCAGTTGAACAATCTAGAGTCATCCTGGAAAAGTAATTCAGCGAGGGACTCTCTAGATCAGACTGGCTGAGGGCATGTCTGTAAGAGGTTTTCTTAACTGGGTTAACGAATGTGAATGGTACCATTTTGTTGTCTGTGCCCTGACCTATTTAAGGGTGAAAAAAGGTGAGTGTACATGCATTAGCTTTTCTCTGCTCTCGACTCTGATGTGTTTATCTGTGTAATTCCCACTGCCTTGACTTCCCTGCTATGATGGATCGTCACCCTCTCTAAGCTGCTTTTTGTCAGGGTGCTTTATCACAGCAACAGAGACAAGCAATGCCTGCAGATACCATTCCCCCTTCCAACCTAGTATTCTTTCAGGTTTTCTTCCCTCTTAGCCCCCATAATTACTATTTTTAAAAAAGAGATTTTTATAGTAAAATAAACAAACAAGAACAAAAACAGTATAAACTGTAATAGGTAGATTATTAAAACAATTCTCAAAAAACATACACTTCACACCAAAAAAGGTAATAAATAATTGAAGTCTAGGGGCAAGTTGGATTTAATTCTTGGCTAAATAAAAAGGCCTTAACCCATAATAGGCAACACACATCATATCAGACATTCTGAAAATTTGGAATAAAGAAGTTTCTATCACAGCACGATGGGGTAAAAAGTGACATTATATAGTGAGGTTTCAAATGAGATGTCAGCAGTGACTTCATCTACAGCACAGTTGAGGAACCATTTATGTAGTGATGTACGGCTCCCACATATATATATACCACAATACCAAACCACAGGAGACCAAATAAAAATGATTTGTCAGACAGGAATTAGAAGAGATGCAGCACCTCTCTAACATGTCTCAGTTAGTTCTTTATGAGACTCTAATGCAAACTATAAACTACTACTCTTTCTAGCTTTCATATTTCAACATTCTCCTAACAAATTAAATCAGAATTAATTTCCTATGCCGCTGAGATTAGCCACATCTTCTCCTTCCTTCTGATTCACTGTACAGTCTATAAGTAGTCTTGTTTTCTTTTAAGACAGAGAGCTTTGATCATTTTTCTGTTAGAAGTAGATGATCATTTCAAAGGTCTGTTGGATAATTTAATTAAATGACAATTAGCAATAAATGCCCCAGAATATTATATGGCTAAATTTTAACTGATTTCATAAAAAAAAACTTAGAAAAGTATGTCTGAATTTCTGTACAGCTATCTTTTTTCTCACATTAATTAATTAATGCCAACACACTGACAGTTCTGGCTGGCTCTCACAACTGCTAGTAGTGCTTACCTTGCATAAAGAAAGTGCTAGCGAACATACTGGTTGGTGGCTTGGGAGATGGATAACTAGGAGATTCACGGTTGAAATCGTCAGAATTTGGGGATGGTGCATATACCTTAAAACAAAACAGGAGACTTAATTAAATGTAAATGATTATATTATTTACATAAAATGAGTTCTATGTTTCACAAAGAACCTAAAAGACTCATCTACTAATTTCCATTAGTACATATCACAAATATTGCTACACAGTTGACATCAAATTTGGTTACTAACTACATGTTGCTTTTTAGCTGGTTACTAGAAAGTAAATTACTTCAGATATTCATGTATTCCATCTTGTTATAACAATTATAAGAGGTGGCTGAACAAGGCCTAAGACACTCAGACCCAAAAATATAATTTTCTTAGCAGCATGTGTTTTGAAATCTGATGGGGCAACAAATGTCTCTGAATATTAAGCGGCATACAAACTTTCCACTGTTGTAAACTATAGCAGTTCAGACAAAGAGAATAGATGAAATGATCCTGGTAAAAGGCATGCATGAAAGGACAGCAACTTCCTTAACTTAGGAAATTGAATCAAATTCTGCTGAGAGGTCTCAGTTCTTAAATTTCAGGTATACTTCCAAGTTTGACATATCTTAAAGAAAAAGATTATTTGTTAGGGCAGTAATGCTTTCTTTTAGTGAACATTTGCTCTAGATAAGGAAATTATGAACATTTTAAAATGTCAAACGGCCAACATTCACAATCCTTGAGAAAACTAAATGGGCAGCCAAATAAACAGTGAATGAAATATGACCACAGAATTCTCAGAATTACTGAACTTTAGAAAACAAAACAAATAACAAATAAAGCTTTACATGAAGCTTGGCATAGTGGCTAACGCCTGCACTCCAAGGAGGACGGATGGCTTCAAGTTCAACACCAACTTTGGCAAGAGTGAGACTGTCTGAACACCAACCCTGCCATCAAAATGTCTTAAAAGAAAACAAGACTACTTATAGACTGTACAGTGAGTCAAAAGGAAGGAGAAGATGTGGCTAATCTCAGTGGCATAGGAAATTAATTCTGTTTAATTTGTTAGGAGTACATCCAGTAAATTTCACTATAAAGAAATTTAAATTTCACTTAACTAGCAAAAGTTAGCATTATCATTATGAAGACATATACAAACACACACACATTCTATATATAATCATTGAGATATTCTGGAATTATATGGAAAAAACTTTGTAAAAGTTACATTTTACAAGTGGGGGAAGGGCTGAGCAGTGGTGGCGCATGCCTTTAATCCCAGCACTCGGGAGGCAGAGGCAGGTGAATCTTTTGTGAGTTCGAGGCCAGCCTGTAGACCAGGACAGGCTCCAAAGCCACAGAGAAACCCTACCTCGAACCCCCACCCCAGCAAAAAAAGAAGTGGGGGAAAGGACTGTTAGTATATAAGGTGGCATTTCTAACCCAAGCAAATGCTTTTAAACAGTGGTAAGAGAAAGAACATTCAAAGGACACATCTCACTGGCAGAATGAGCCAAGCAAACAAGACCCTGGGGGGTGGGGGGTGCTGGTTCTTACACCAAGGTTAAATGGAAGCAATTAATTTTTTTTAACAAAAACTATTAATTATAAATTCACAAGCTATCAAAATTTACTCTTCCTAAAAGGTACTAACCATATAGAGTTCTCAATCTTCCTGAAGCTCAAATTTCTTATCTGTAAGGTAGCCTGATCCTGTACCTCACGGGGCAGATGAGATGAGGTATCAAATATTTAGCACAGTGCTTCTGATAGTGTAAGAAGTAGCGAGTAAGAATTAGCTAATATACCATATTAACCATGACAACAGAAGAAATTACACTGTTTAGTATTGCCACTAGTCAGTTTTTGATGCTACTTGTCACACGTTTTGTGAGATATGACTCTATTTATACAAGCACAGCCCATTGTACATAAAGGTTAGAAAGTCCTTTTCATCTCTTCTTACTAGTCCTGCTAATACTAGCATACATGTGTATTTTCCTTTGAATTGGTTTTCATGTTTGTTTCCTGTCACCTCTTCAAAGTAAATTGTATACCTGTGGTATCTGAGATGTTTGGAAAAGCTATGTTCTTAGAAATTAACTAAAAGGTCCTGACAGGAAAGTGTGACACATACATGTATTAGCACACTTTTCTATTTTAAACCTATCTCATACAAGATTACATTAGGGGGATGGAGGAAATGGTTCAACAGTCAAAGACACTGGCTGTTCTTGCAGAGGACCTAGGCTCTATCCCCAGCATCACATGGAGGTTCATAACCATCCATAATTCCAGTTCCAGGGGATCCCATACTCTCTTCTGGCCTCCAAGGGCAACAGGCATGCAAGTGGTGTACAAATGTACATACAGCCAAAACACCCATACACATACAATAAAAAATTAACTTTATTAGTGCAAAAAAAAGAGAAACACCATGGCATATTTAATTGTGTAATTGTGTTTGTGTCTTATAAGTTTTTTATGAAAGGAATTTGATTATATATTTTTTCTTAAATTTCCCTTTCCAAAGCCTGGCATGGTGGTTCACAAATGTCACCTCAAAACTCAGGAGGCTGAAGCAGGAGGACTCCCATAAATTCAAGGCTAGCCTCAGCAACACAGCAAGTTCCAGAGTACTTTAAACTGCAGAGTGAGATCCTGTGTCAAATAAGTAAATAAACAAGGAAGCAAACAAAATCAACAAAGCTTCGGTTTCAATCTTAGCAAAACTGGGAGTCTTTTGCCTTTTTCTATACAGAATTCTCCAAAACAAGGGACACTATAAAAACAGAAAGTAGAGGAAGTTTCTAGCCTTTGCTAGGAAATACAAATCAGAATCAAATGTAGAAGATAGTATTAGAACATGTGCTTTTCATTACAAATCTATTCTTACTACACATATACTTTATCAGAAATAACTATAATTTATCCAATATATTCAAGTTATAGCCCAAAATATTTGAAACTCACACATGAGAATTATAAAAAAGTTCCAGTTTTGATGCATCATTTCATGCACCAAAAAGACCTACATAATTTTTCATCTTAAATTTCAAAATAACTTCTTGATTTATAGCTGTCTTTGGTACCTTCAGTTCCTTGTATGCCAAGTATGATGGACTTATGATTCAGAACTTTTTAGAAGTCTGCCGTTATGACAAAAGTAAAGAGATATGTCTACTTTGATTCACAAAGTGCTGCTGAATAAAGAATGATGGCTATCACACAAAATGAGGAAACTAAGGTAAACAGAACAAATTAGAAGAAAACACATGCATACTTACTTGTACTTGAAGACTGAAGCTGAACAGGAAAATGAGGCCTCATGTTAGAGGCAAAGTTAGTTTTTAGAGATAATCTCTGTACAACATAGGTTTTGGGAATAAAAAGGACTTTTACAAGATAAAACAGGACACAGTGATGCATGCCTTTAATCCCAACACTGAATTCCAGGCCTGATTTACAGAACAAGTTCCAATATAGCCAGGGCTATCAGAGAAATCCTGTCTTAAAAAACTAGAGAACAAACAAACAAACAAAAAACCCCAACAAAACAACCCCCTGAACACCATGAAAAAAAGACAGATCGTACAAATGAAGATGGTAAACAAAACCCTAAACAACTTTATTGTTTACACACTAGTACAACTTCAAATTTTCATCATAATAGAAATACTTTGCAGCCTGTGGCTCTCAGAGGACCCCTGGCACTGTTCTAACTTTGCTTTTGGTATCTCAGCCATGACCTGCAAAACACAGATGCAGAGCTATGGAATAGCAGTTGTGCCAGTCTCGAGTTCAGATCAAAGCACAACTGATGTGGTCAGGGAGTTTATTAGCTCCAGATGTGGGGAAACAGTCAGCCAGTTCCACAAAAAGAGCAAGTCTTTCCTTGTTACAATCAGTACTGGCCACAAATTAAAACCAGACCGCTTATGTCATCCGATCACCTGTACACAGATGCTAGTTTTTTTAAAAAAATTCTAGTTAATGATATATTTAAATCTCAAGGATGATTCTGTAGCACAACGAACAATCTTAAAATTAAGAAAGAGGAGTAGTTATGATTTAAGATGATTACAATCTACTAGGAGTCAAACAATTTTAAGATATTAGAGAAAGGAACAACTAAGTATTTTAAGGTGTTCTATCTAATTTCTAGACAGGAATTCCAGCTTTGGTTTCAGAAAGTTAGGCACAGGCAGCTATTGCAGAGATGCCATTTTGCTTTTTAAGGTGTTAAGGCATATTTTTGGTATCTGCTGAACAGATAGATACTCTTAACTCAGAACACAAGTGAGTCAAAACCCACACTTCTTTTCCATCATCATTAAGTCTGGTTGAAGAGAACAAACTCTTACCAATATCTTGAATGTTCTCATCCCACTTACCCCAGGGTAGGTTTGAAAAAGACAGCACAGCACTGTCTTCAACAGTGACTATGCAATTATGCTCAGGGTGCTTTAGTTCATGCACCCAACTGGAGTCAAGTTGTCAAAGACAGATTCCTCCCCACCTTGGATGATTCAGTTGAGACATAGGAATGACCTCCAAATTTGGGGGAGAACATTCTGGAGCTCTAGAGATTGGCAATGTGCACTACATCTCTTTTCAATGCACCCGTTTTGTAATTAATATTGGAAACAGCCCTGTACAACAAAGAAGCATAGAGAGTCTGGTAACTACTGAGAAAAGATGCAAAGTAAATAAATAAAAAGTAAATCAGAAGCTTTAGCTAAAAAGAAAAATAGATCCATAGTCTGATGGTTGATATTTTTAATAGCTTAAATGACAAGGAGGGGGGAGTGTTCCTTAGGATGTGTGACTATTAATTTAAGGGCCCTTTTCCAGAATATGAGAAGATCTACAGATGATAAGCAAATTCTATTCTATGTGCCATGCAATGCAGCAGCCATTATTTAGTGGTCACCTGAGATTGTAAATGGTATAAAGAAAAAATGGAATTTTGCATTTCATTTTCTTAAACTACCACATATGAGTAAATGGTCCTTTATCCAGAAGTTCAGGCTATACAAAATACGCTGAAAGAAGAATTTTGAAATCTCACACATTCCAGGGCCTATGAAAAAG